ACTCATTTAAAACAAACAAAAACCTACCAGATTCCATCCGAAACACACTAGTAGGAAATACAAATATAGTAGCCTCGTCCACACGTAATAAAAATGATTAAAAATTATGGAAGCCCTAATAATCAAAGAGAATAAAGCCAACTGTCTATAACATTAACTATGAACACGGCCACAGTGTGCTGACCGTGTTCGGAAAATAAAACATTTTTATAACTTCAAACACATACATAAAAACACGCCTTCAGTTAAAAATAAAAATTAAAAATAGCTAACAGAATAACCGAAAGCGCTTGGATATGCAGAAACTTTGGACATTTTTGCACACTCTGTGTCTAGAAAAGAAAACACTTGCACAAACACAAGAAATATTAAATAAAAAGCTCAATTGCAGTGCCTTGTCAGTCGTCTTTAACGAAACATATATATTTGCAGTGCTGACTACATAGAGAGAACTACTCAAAGCCTGGACATGAGAATTAAACAGCATATTCCCACCAAGATCAGGAATCACACTATCTTTGAATGGACCTGTCCCAAATTACGTATGGTTCCGCCATATGTGAGCACCTCTTAAATAACAGAGGGTGTGCGGCTAACTTTAGCGTCGACTGGTTCACTGTTGTGTCCCGGTCTCACTCTCTATTTTAGCTCAAGGTGCTGGAGGCACTTTATATCGGCTCCCGCCATCCTTCCCTGTGTAAACAGCGTGAATGTTTGCTAGGGCTAGCTGTTATTTGTCTCTAGTTCCTTGTGTTCATTTTTTTCCCTTCCCCTTCTCATTATACATTTTTTTTTGTTTTTAATTTAAGTTAAATTTCCCGTAGAGGCCTGAAGAGCGGGAGCGAAACCGGTTGCTTCGCTTTTAACATGCCTTGCAATATTAAGCTACATACTTTTATTTCTGTAATTAGATTTTGCACCTTCAAAAATATTTTCAAACATATATATATATATATATATATATATATATATATATATATATATTGATATATATATATATATATATATATATATATATATATATATATATATATATATATATATATATATATAGTGGTGAAGGCTTACGCAGAGAACCAACCACACTTTTTCAAGAGCCGAATACAGAGATCTAGTGCAGTATCGACCCTCCACAGGTTTTGAATTCAGAGTTGTCCGAAAGACCAGTTGCCATCCAAGGCTATGGAACCCAGTCTGTTCTTCTATTTACCCATAGCTGGAAGGAGAAGAGGAGGATTGATACCTTTCCCAAGCGTATTAGGATCCAACCAAATAAATAAATATATATATATATATATATATATATATATATATATTTATATTTGGTTGGATTGATGTGAGTTTGTGATCTTGGGTTTCACTTTTGCGATCCGGTGTACTGATATGCATCTATGTTTGCGTTAGCATAAGTAACATCACGACGGCGTTTCCCCCCCTTCCATAATGACACCAATACATGCAATCTACATAAATCCAAAATTTAAAAAAAATAATCAGTTTGTCTGACGATCGCAAAAGCGTGAAACCCAGGGTCACAAACTCACATCAATCCAACCAAATATGTTAGCTCTATCTCTGATATCGCTTTCTAATAAGTACCGCGTATATAATATATAAATAATAACATATATAATATATTACATATGAGTTTTCGGTAGAGCGAAATTATACTCACACAGGGCAGCGAGTGTTTGTCCGCTTTCTTCCTCATGATAACAAGTGAATGTACAGCTTACCTTAAGTCCAAGCATCGACCTGGTGGGGGGTGGGGATCAACGGCCAATCCACCGCCCTCACCAAATAGTTGGCTTGGGAGGCATGCTTTCAATAAAAAATTAAGAACAACAGGAGAAAGAATGGTGGCGAAAACAATTCCAAGTTCAGAAATTTTATCAAGCAAGAATAGTCGGCCACTAAATCATGAGAATACTGACGAGAGACACTTTCGCATCTATAAAGACATACATACATATTTATATATATATATATATATATATATATATATATATATATATATATATATATATATATATATATATATATATATATGTATGTATGTATGTATATAGTCGGCTTATAAATAAAATTGCACTAATTCCTGAGAAATTGCTTTGTTTACGTTTCCGATGCGAAAATAAAGTTAGCAGATATGGGATTTGGAAGACCTTCATAACAGTAATTGAACCTGTCTTTACCGCGACAGTCCTTCGTGGCTGAGCAGTCAAAAAAGTATCTCGGTCTATATAAGCGGAACGCAGGTTCAAATCGTTTTGAAATCTCTTTTATTAATGACTCTTGTGAAGAGGGACGATGAAATGGATATCTTCAATCGCATTTAATAAACAAGGAACACGCGGTGGACATGTTGGATTTTTATTACGGAAGAACGAAAGGGAAATAATATGGCGTAGACAGAAATGATATTAAGGGACTTAAACTTCTTGTTTACGTGTGTATCTCACAATCCTCCCTTGTTGTCTTTTGCTAAATCTTCCATTTATAATGGTAGTTGGTTGTGTGGAACGTGTTGGCGGTGAATTTTCAGATGGAATCACTGATTCCTGTGATGGAGACCGAACTAGCTGTCATCTGGTCACCAAGGATATTTGGTGATGGTGCTGGCAATAGATTTGCCTGGGTTGTTGCAGGTAAATCCTCTGTTAGGTACCAGTTGATCGAAGTGTCGTTTCCAGTGATTGGCGGGGATGATTTCCACTGTACAAGATCTTAGACCTTGTTGGGAGCTGATCCCTGAATAATGCTGCTGGCGCCGGCGGTGATCGCGAGCAAAGACGTTGACATCTTCCTTTAGTGACGGCGGGTTTTTCCGTGAGCGTAAAGAAACCTATCTGCTCTGATTAACTGACACTGTGGTCTTTATCTTGGGTCGTAACGTTTTCAACTTTGTTCGTAGTTTCCAATCAAGCATGAATGTTGCTGGTGACCCTCCTGTGGGAAACAAGAGGTGAATTTCTATTAGGAAATTAGGAATTTGGAGAGATTTGTATGGACGGTGCCACGCCCATACTTTGCTGATTTCACGGCTGATTTCAAAGACTGCACCATTCGTTCTGCTAATCTATCAGTTGCAGGATGGTACAGGGCGCCTTTTATGTGCATAATACCGTTAAATAGGAAGAAGCGTTTAAATTCATCAGATGTAAACGTTGATACATTATCTGAAACTAATAGTTCTGGGATACCAGATCTTTCACCGTCTTACGTATGACGATAAACTACGGGTCCTGGTTAAGAGGAAAAACTAACTCGGAGAGAAAGGCCTCTTAACCGATTAGGCCACAGAGGAACGTTCGGTTAGCAAGGTCGATTTTACTGTTTTAAAGCACTTCAGGCTAAATGACGGTTCTGTATAGGATACAGGTTCGATTCCTGTCGGAGGACGCATATTTTCTATGAAAATTTCTCGGACAGTCAGGCCGGTAAATGTTGTTTAATACTGTTTATTATAAACAGAGCATTTACTTAAATATTTGTATCTATAAAAAGAACGTATAAACATAAAAAATGTCTTAAATATATATATATATCCATTTTATAAAAGTCTCATGTTTCAAAACAAGAGCCGAAAAACTTCAATCTTGTTTTTGAAACATGAGACTTTATGTCGCGATTTGGAATCATATTTTAAATAAATAATTATATATATATATATATATATATATATATATATATATATATATATATCGAAAGTGTCGATATCGAAATATAGTAAAAGAATCCTTATATATGTCTTGATAAAGTCCCTCAGAGGACGAAACGCGTCGGCTAACATTCCCTTGTATTTTTCACACAAACACACACACACACATATATATATATATATATATATATATATATATATATATATATAATATGGAACGAAGAAAGGAAGGAGATAAATTGTGATTTAAGGGTAACGTCCCATTATCTTGACAGTTAATTTGACATTTGTTACAAGAAAAATAAATGAAATGAGAAAAAAAGAATGTAAAAGCTACTGGAAAGATCGAGACAGGATCTACAAGAAACATAAATGGACAGAGAAAAAAGAATTTACACGCTACAGAAGCGAAAGGAAGCAAGAAATATGACAAGAAAGGAAGAGGCGGGGAAAAGATCGAGAAAGGATCAACAAGAAACATAAATGGACAGTGAAAATAAAAATTTTGAAATACTAGCGAAAAAGAATGTATAAAAATAAAGAAAGGATCAGGAAAAGAGATTATCTGTGATAAAAACGAAAGAACAAAATTCAAAAGGCGAATGAAACTGTTAACCAAAATATGGAAGACAGATGAAAAATGCCAGGAAATTCATCATTGAAAAAATGGCAGAATGAAAGTTTAAACGAAAGGACTAAAAAAGGAATGAGGCAAGGGAAGGAAAGGAAATTAGCCAAAAGGCATAAAACGGAATGAAGAATAGAATATAAGACAAGAGAAATGAACGATGCAAAAAGAGGAGATAAAAATAAAGAAATGGAAGAAAATGTATTAAGTGGATATTAAAAGAATATTAAAAAAAAATACGTGTGAAGAGAATAAAAGAATGACAGTGTTAAAGAATACAGGATTGAAAATGAAGGAATGAAAAATAAGGCAAAAAGAAGAGTAGAATTAAGGAATTGAAAATGGAAAAAATAATAGGATAAAGAATATAAGAATGAAGAGAGATGGAAGGAGAGAAGAGAAGAATGAAGGAATGAAAGAATAAATGAATGAAAATGAGAATACGAGAACAAACAAAAAAGACGAAAGACGAAAAAAGGAGATGGAAAGAATAGAAGAATGAAGGAATGGAAGAATAAATGAATGAAAATGAGAAAATGAGAACGACGAAAGGTAGATGGAAGGAAAAATAAAAGAAGGAATGGAAGAATAAATGAATGAAAATGAGAACAAACAAAAAGACGAAAGACGAAAAAGTAGATGGAAAGAAAGAATAGTAGAATGAAGGAATGGAAGAATAAATGAATGAAAATGAGAACAAACAAAAAGACTAACGACGAAAAAGGAGATGGAAGGAAAGAATAGTTGAATGAAGGAATGGAAGAATAAATGAATGCAAAAAAAATGGAAAAGGTAGATGGAAGGAAAGAATAGTAGAATGAAGGAATGGAAGAATAAATGAATGAAAATGAGAACAAACAAAAAGACGAAAGACGAAAAAGTAGATGGAAAGAAAGAATAGTAGAATGAAGGAATGGAAGAATAAATGAATGAAAATGAGAACAAAGGATGAACGACGAAAAGGTAGATGGAAGGAGAGAATAGCAGAATGAAGGAATGGAAGAATAAATGAATGAAAATGAGAACAAATGAATGGACGAACGACGAAAAGGGAGTGGGAATGAGAAAAAATAGAGTAAATAATGAAAGAAAGGAGTTAAAAAAAGGGATAAAAAGGTATATAAGCATTAAGGGACGGGAAGGGAGATAAAAGGAAAAAAGAAGAGAATAGTGGAATGGAATAAAAATGAATAAAGTGTATATTAAAGGAATATTTAACAGAAGGAATACGGGAGAAGAGAATAAAAGAATGACATTAGAGGCAAAAAAATAGAATTAAGGAATTAAAAATGGAAAGAATGAAAAACAGGATAACGAAAATTAAATTGAAGTGAGTTAGAATGAGAGAAGAGTAGAATGAAGGATTGAAAGAATAAATGAATGAAAAAGAAAATAAACGAAGAGACGTTTGAAGACAAGGGAGCTGGAAGGAGAGAAGAGTAAAATGAAAGATTTGAAGAATAAATGAATGAAAGAATAAACGAAGCGACAAAGAAAGAAAAGGTGATTGAAAGGAGATAGTAGAATAAAGGAGTGGAATACTAAATGAATGAAAAAGACAATAAAAGAAAAGACGAATTAACAAAAAGATAGAATACAGCAGAATAAAGTAATGAAAGAATTAAGGAATGAAAGAATTAAGGAATGAAAGATTAAAGAATGAAAATGGGATAAATGAAAATATTAATGAAGAAAAAGTGAATGAACGAAAATACGAATGAAGGAATGGATTGTAGGAAAAAAGCGTTGAATAAAGGAATGAAAGAATGCCTAAGCAAATAATGGGTAAACGAAAAGAATAGTATAGGAAGTGGAATTAAAAAGAAGAAAGAACAGAATAAAGGAATTGATGAAGAAAGGAATAAAGAATGTAAGCATCAAGGGAATTAAAAGGTGATAAAAAGAAAGAAGAATAGAATAAAGGAATAGAAGAATGAATAAAAAATTCAAAGAATATATGAATGAATAAAAATAAGTGAGAAATGTCGATTAAATATGTAGAGAATAGCAGATTAAATGAATATAGTAAAAAAAAAAGAAATAGTAGAATGACGGAATATATTATAAAACAAATAATAAATGAACATAAAAATGGAGGAAAATTATAAGGAATAAGAGAAGAGCTAGGAATGGATAACGACTAAGTGAATATAGGACAGAATAAAAGACGATAAGAATAACAGAACGGGCAGCTGGGGAAACGAATGTAGAATGAATAATTGAAAATAAAATTGGTCGTCAGTAGAAAATCTATTAAATAAGGAGAAATGGAATAAATAATCAATAAACGAATGAAGGAACGAATAAATGAATTAAAGTAGAAACGAATGAATGTATTACGGAAAGAAGTCTTGATTCGGCAAGTTTCTTTCAAAAGTCACAGGCGCCATTTTCATGTCGTATTGGTCAGCAGAAAGTACACACTTACGTTTTGCGTTTCTTTTTCTTATATTGCTATATGTTTTATCTTTGCCTTTTATCACATCCCTTCATATTCCGTAACCTTCAGGTCTCCGGGATTTTCTCGCTTTTCAGGAGAAATCACCGAACTAATAATGATAAAGAGAAAAAAAATAATCGCTTGGAAATGACGCCATTATTGCTTTCTTTTATGTAGAGGACCGCCATTTTTAACAATGCCGACGAACTCCGCCCTCTTACCCAACTCTGCAGCAAGATCACCTGACCGACACAAAACTCGTGCCAATTATCGACCTGCAACGTGCCTGTTGGGAGGAGAGTGAGTAAAGTGGTAGCCGTCAGGTGAAAGAGTGACAGGTGGAAGAGAGTTGGGGGGGGTGATAAGCGGAAGAGTTTTAGGTAGGGTGGGACGGGGTGAGGCGTAGTGATCGCTGTCCATTAGTACGATATCTGAGTTCGATCACGTCTCTCTAGCATACTTGGTGGATTGTGTCGCTATACCAATTGGTTATTGCAGATCTATATCGACCTCGGGGTGGACTGCACCCACATATATCCACACACGCACGCACACACACACACACACACAAATAAAAAAAGAAAAAAAAAACGCTCCGATCGCGTCCTTGGTTGTAAATTTCAAAAATCAATTTCATCGAATCGTTCTTGACCAATAACGTAGTATAGAACAATACTACGTGACAAAGATGGAAGATAATGAACCAAGCTAAGCCGTTCAACACGATGTTCGTTACACGACTTCTTTTTTAAAAGAATGACTGGATTAATATCCGACCAGAGACACCATAGCCCTTAGGCTTGTAGATAAGACCAGCATGCCAAACCCTGCGAAACGCCTTTGAGATATCGAAAGCCATAGCCCGAGCCTCGTTGGTCTTTATCTAAAGCAGTCTTGGGGCAAACTGCGGGCCATGTGCGGTCCGTTTTGATTTTTCCGAGTGGTACGCTTAAATTCATAAGAGAAAAAAATACGTTTATTAAAATATTTAATTAATTTCGTTCTCACTTGTTCGCTCACACATAATCACGTATATAATCAGTAATTAAGTACAATGTTTCATGAAGTTTGTAAAATTTAGGGAAAAGTAACGTTGTCAGCATTTTAAACCATTGGCGATTTTTCACTAAGGAAGATCATACGTGTAAACACCGTTTTGCTTTTGAAAGAGGAAACGTTTATGCGGAGATTTTCTTCATTTTCAAATGAATATATTAGAAATAAATCCCACGCAGCGGCATGTGTCAATCACAATGTCATCAGGGTTAATATTATACCAAGTCTTCAATATTTATTTTTTTTAATTATAAAAATAACATTTTCTAAAACTAAATCTGTCCTACTATTTATAAGGTACTAGCAGCATGGCCCGGCGTTGCCCGTGCTTGATTCAAAAATCGTACGACTCATACAGCAATCGCTATTACTTGACTTAAAATATATTTGCCCTTCCTTGCCGTTAAAGGAATGCCTTTTGCCGTGCTGATGTTGCTACATGCCTTACTTCTTGCCTATCTCACACTGCGAATTTTTTCTAAGCTCTATACTAAACATTAAATCTGTTACGAAAAAAAGAACTAAACAAAATGAACACAAAACGATCAGCTTTAAAAAAGGACTCGTAACTGGAAAACCCGAATGAAAAAAGAATGTTAACAACAAATACTTTTTCACACACAACCCAGTTCTGCGGAATCAGAATCAACGTTGAGTTTAAGCAAGCGAATGAGCCAATTGGAGTAAAGTGCCATGCAGATTTAAATTTTTCCCACTTGTGACGAATGCAGCTATCGTTTTTTTTGCATGCTAGTTAACATTCGTGTCAGTCAGCTGTTGACTCTCACGCTGGCCAGTAGAATCTTCCTGCCTATTCGTGGCAGCCAGCTATAGGCTCTCACTTTGGCCAGTACAAAACGGCCGCAAACTACATGAAAACTGCCGTAGAAGCATGAAAAAATCGATTATTTCTACTATCGATGGGAGTTGGGAAATGCAAAGTCAGTCTTGGCCTTTCCACTAACTTGGAACATGTGCATGTAAATTTTGGTGCAAATCCGTCGAAAATTGCGGCCGTGCATTCGTTACAGACACACACATCCTGCCTTTTATAGATAAACATATGCTTACTGTAGTGAAAATAGCTGCGGTATACACTACGAAAAATTATCTTGAATTATTTTACTAGTGCTGCCCACCTTATTACGCAGCCCACTGCTCAAAAATGGTTGCCCATGTCTTTTCAATAATAACCGTTAAAATGTCGCTGGTTGATCTAGAAAAGAGAAAGGTCTATTGTTTATTCTCTAAGAAGGCAATGACATGCTTAACTAACTTGAGTTCATTAGAGCTTCTGGTACTTTACCAATCACGAAACAACATTAAATCTTGTATTACTTTGAAACGCAAAACAAAC